CACGCTATCCACTTCGCATGGTGACTTCCACTGTCCGGCAATGGCTTTGCGAACGTTTGCGCTACGTTTCCCGACGTTTCCGCTTTGACAACCCATCCCTTGTGGGATCCAATCTTCAAGCACTACGCGGTGGCATTCTTCATCCTGAAGCGTCTGAACCCCAAGCTCTACTTCCTGAAAGCCACCGCCTCTCAGAAGAATGTCCACCACTCCACCAATCTCATGGTGATCTATTTGCGCCAGATGGTCGAGAAACTCCTGCAAAAGCTATGGGCCCTGAGCCCTTCGGAGCAACGAGCGCCCAAGCAGAGCGTGATCAATGGCAAACCAAGTTGGACAAGCTCCACATCCAACCAATTGGAACCTCATCCATCTCTCGCATACTGCTTGGCTAGCTGGATTGAAGACTGAGATGGCGAAGAACTGCAAGTGTGCAGCTTGCCAGGCTCTTTGGCCTGGTGGTGTCTCTTCCGACAATGTACCGCCTGCTGCAACCTTACAAGGCTTGGGAGGTCGTTGGAGTTGATGTGAGTGAATAGATTGTGGCCAATACCGCTCATGCTCTGCAAGACGCCGGCGAAAAAGGGTGAACTTAGTTCGTGTTCGCGACAAAGACTCTGGTGGTGCGGATTCAGTTCCTGCCTTCTGTGAGCCTGACGAACTCGAGAGGGCAAAAAGAACAATCGCAGAACTACAACAAAGGATCGAAGAGTTGCAGCGGGAGAAAAACACACAGCCACCTGAGATGAGAAGCAGGGTTGCGCAGCACATTTATTGCTGTCCGAATGGACATTGTTTCCATACAAACAAGTACTGTCGAGGAAAAGCTGTTGCTGCCAATATGAAAGAGTATGTGCCATGCAAGATTTGCGGTCATAGACTCATAGACTAGACTTTTTCCAGCGCATATGCTGACTGGAAAGCTGCTTGAAACAAATCCCGGAGTGAAGGAAAAACGGTGGTCAAAAAAGGAGCCAAGCACTACATGACTTCCAACACGGTTTCCTACATGAACATCTGCCCTGGGGACTGGGGGCAAAACCCCCCACATAAGCTCTGATGATGTGAGGTGAAGGTCTAGCGACCAAGTCACTTATGGACAAGCCAAAAAAGCGACACTACACAGCGACATTGGCGTCCAGCTCACTACACAAGCTCACATAAGCTCACATTTAAATACCATCAATTTACCGCCTCAAATGGCTACCCTTCATTCCAGCGGTGCTATGGCAAAGACTATCACCTCTCCAATGAAGATGTGCGGACCGTTGCCTCCATGCCTGCTGGTGTGTCCGTCTGGCGCAACAACGCCAGAAGGCTGAAGAAACCATAAGAAACACAAGGACCCCACTTTTCGACCGCCCATTTGCACCTAGTGAGCCAAGAAGTCTGTTTGACCCCGCTGTGTCGGTCCTGGTCATCTCCATGTTCCTGAAGATCTGACGGTGTATAGAGCGGGTTCTGATGCGTAACCAGCTCTTGCGCTGCTCAGCACACCCCTGAGGCCAACAATTTCGACACAACAAACTGAATTTGAGCTCGACCAGACAGAGGATGTTTCAAAGTGGGCCTGTGCGGCCTGTTGCTTCACAAGGAGTATCTCCGACATGGGCGACGATGAGCCACATGAACATGAAGAGCAGCCGGACAACCTGACTGCTGAACCTTGCAAGTCACCATCTACATGCCCAAGACAAGAGCAATTGGGAAGTCTACCTTAAATGGCTGACATCGCATGCTTCGACGGATTTCGACGGCAATATGACCCAAACAACTTGGAAGACTATGAGCCCCAATGCGAACTTCCACCTGTTCCCATGGACGATGAAAGGATCTCCTGACCTATAGATCGCTGGTTGATGACATCGCAAAGGATACTCCAATCAATGAATGTGAGTCTGAATCCGAAAAAGGCTGATCTTGAAGCCACGATTGAGGAACTCGATCTTGACTCGTGCTTGATGAACATGGAGTGAAGGTCAACTCTCACAGACAACAAAAAACAGTTCCTTTTGTTTGAGAGACTAGGAGCATCTTGAACCTGACAAGAGAGCATAAGCAAAATGGAAGCTCGCGCCTCCAGGCGATATTGAAGAAGCGAGGGGGATGCAATTTAAAAATCAAAGTGCACCTACGTGAAGCTGGAAAGAAGAAAGCTAAGGCACGCATCCTCCTTTTTTGATTTTTTGCTTCTATACCTGCACCTATGCAGAGCTTCCGCTGCCTGCTGGAAAAACATAAAAGATTACCGGTGGTGATGAAAACGGCCGTTTCAAAAAATGATACCAGAGGTGTTTGGTTTGTTCTCCCACTCCCTGCGTAATCCTTTTTTGATCTTTTTTGTGTCTTGCACGCGCGTCCCAAAGGTCGTCCAGCGCAGGATCCTCAAAATGTTGGTCTTTTAGCAAAAAACTCGCTAATGGCAAACATGTTTGCAAAATGCGCTAAAACAATAAAGGAAGCAGCCTTTGGACGTTCTGCTCCACTCAGCCAGTGACGAACTCCGCGCGAGAACAACTTGTTCATCCCCGAAGAGTCTACTTGCACCACTGCGACGTGTGGCTCCAAAGCGCTAAGGCTACGCCCGATGTGGACCTGTCAGGGTTGCAACGCAACAAGATGCAACAAGTCTCAATCTGCCAGGGCCATCCACAAAGTTGGAAACACACACACCCCACCCCACAAAGAAAAGTATCGTATTCACGTCGCTTCGCACCGCCCGCACCGCATGGAAGGGGCCAATATTTCCACCGAACATAGCCCCGGAAGTGCCCCCCCCCTCCCCAACGTGGCCGAGCATAGATTCCATGTTTCGAGATAGGGATTTAACATGGCCCAACGTGTCAGGTAATATGAAAGCTATGTTTGGCCACGTTAGGGGGTGTTTTTTATTCCAGTTTACGACGTTCAAGTCCCTATCTCGCAGACACTACCTTTAGATAGTGACTTCTAGGGCTATGTTAGGCAATATCTTCACTCTATTCCAGTCCCTTTGAGCCTTCGTTGGGCCATGTTTACGACGTTCAAGTACCTATCTCGGGGAAGCATACTTGAGACCATATGGGAGCTATGCTCGTGAGATAATGTTACCGTTCCTGGACCTGATCTGCTTATCTCTGCTCCTGACCAGCCACGTGCCCGGACGTTCAAGTCCCTATCTCGCAGACACGTCCGTTAGATAGTGACTTGTAGGGCTATGTTACGCAATATGGAAGCTATGTTGAGCCCTGTTAGGGGAACCTGTTCAGCCAAATGTCCAGATGATGCAGATGATGCAAAGCAGAAAATTGCATTTCTTGCATCACTAGGGGCTTCAAGATAGCAACAATTAGCACGAGTTTATCTTCCAGCACTTTAAGCCGGTTCCAAAAAACGTGAAAAACATAGGATTCTAGAGCGAAAATGCCCCCCCCTAGCAAAAGCTATAGTACTTGCGGTACTTGCGGTATAACGCGTGCCTTATAAAAACGCCTCGGCACCTTCGGGCGGATTTTGGGTTTCCTTTCTGACCCTGTCGATGGGTTTGTAGCAACCACCGTTGTGCCATTATTTCCAGCACCTGGACTTGCGCAGGGCACGAGACGCCAGTATTACTCTCATCCTTCCACACTGTCAGCCAGCCCTTCTCCCTGGCAAGCTGCCGGGTCGACGCGTCAGCCTCGAGCATCTTCGCCTTGACCCCAAGCTCCGGCAACTGAAGGTAACTTTGAACCTTCAAAACGCAATCGAAAGATTGTGTTTGACGATCGTAGGTGCAAAGTCTTTTCATCCTTGAAGCAAAATGTAACAACGATGAAAGTAAACATGCCGCAGGAACCTGTCAAGCGTCCTCGCTGGCAGTGATCATGGCATGTCCAAGCCAACAGTGACACAATAGATGCTTTCAAGTTTTTGATAATGTTGTTGTAAGACAATAAGGGTTGATAAGCCATGTGGAGTGAGGTTGAAATATGTTAAATAATGGGGCAAATCACTGTAGACTGTAAAATGAGGTGCTTCCTCCAAACTCTGAAGCTGTAACCACTTGATGTCAGTGATCAATTTCATCGAACACAATGTGCTCGCAAACAATGTGTCCGCTTCGTGCCCCAAAAAACATTAAAAAAAACATAATTTATTGAAACAACAAAGTGCCCGCAAACAATTTATCCGCTTCGTGTCCCCAAAAACAACAAAAACATAAACGAATTTAAACAACCTATATATATATAGATTATGCACACCTAGGACTCACAGGTATGTATATAAATTTCCTGTTCCGAACAACAACCAAAATCACCTGAGCCTTTGCCAGGTCTTTCACTTGGTTGCTTCAAGCTTTGAGATCCTAATTGGCCCTGAGGCTCTGAGCATGCACGGCGCTCGAAATGATAATGGGCGCCCGTACTTAAAAAAAGGCAGGTCACTTGAGAGCGTGTTCTGGGAAAAACTCAGCTACGATACAGTAACCCTTTAAGGGTCAGTCAGTTGGGCAAAGGTTTGGGCTCAGTTTGGGCAACTTTCAATATTTGATTTTGAATATCAAAGACGTGCAACGTGCAAGTTGACCTATCTAAGAGGATAAAGCCCGCGTAAACATACTTGTCATTGGCTGTTGGGTGTGTGCCAAGTAATACAATAAAATATTGCTTCACATGTTGGGAGATGGGTTGTTTTTACTGTAGCCATGCACTGCTGCACGCAGCCTTCCCAGAACATCACATGATTGCGCTATCAAAGACATGGTAGTCCGACTACGCTCTGCAAATCAGGTAGACACAGTGGGGACATGCAAACAGGCACAAATCTCTAAGCCCACAAAAGCACGCGCAAACCTGTAACCCCGCGTAAACACGTATGAGCCCGTAAACCTGTGTAAACCCGTAAACCCGCGCAAACCAGCATAAACCCGTAAGCCCGCGTAAACCCGAGTAAATCCGTCAACCCGCACAATCAAATTCAGACACATTTTCCGTCGCACTGTTCGAATGTATATAGACGTGAATGTGTCCCTTTCCAAGGTGGAACTTCAGCTACATTGATCCCTCTCCTGTCCGGAAGGTCTTGCAGAAAATTGATGCAAGTGAGGAGCGCCGGTGTTTACGCAGCAGCATTCGTCAAAACATTCAGTTTCATTGAGCACCAACGAAAAACAATCCTTCATGTCCTGCTTGTTTGTCCAAATTGAAGTGGGCCATTAGGAACTAACTGATGATGGTGTGTCAGTGACCTTCATTGCTTCCACATTGCAACATAAGAGGGTTTGTGTGTTTGTTCGTTTGTTTCTTCGTTTTGGTTTGCTTTCATGGTTCTTCTCATGCTGAAAAACCTTGCAGCAACTCACGTGTTCATGTCAAGTGTTGACCTTTCACGAAGATGCGGACTCTTTGGTCCGCCGTGCCGAGCCGAAAGCACAGTAATTATGCAGGAACTGTTCTAGTGTTTTTTCCTGTCCATCAAGAACAGCTCTGCTTAGGTGCAGTACGACCTTGCCTCTCAGATCAATTGTGCCTTGGTTTGCGCAAACATAGTGGGCGGGGTGGTGTGCCGGATGTCACTTGATATAGCAACATAGTGCCTCACCTCCACCATACCCTGAATGCCTCGGATGCAAGCAATTTCGGAAAGCGGTTGTATAATATGTTATTTGCGGGGAGGGGTGTAAAACTTAAGGCTTTCTTCAACAGTCGCGTGACTTGGTGAAGCAGTGGACTGTCGTGCTTCAGCATAGGGGCAGGGGACACAAGCAGAAACTTGGAAGGTGCATTGTCAGTCTCGTTCGGCAGCTTGTTGCATGTATGTTTGCTCATGTCATGTGTGCCCAGCCACTTGATTGCTGAAGTTGCTGTATTTTTAAAAAAAGTGGAAGATTCATTCCAAACTCCGGCCGTTGCCACAGGAGTTGGGGGCATCATGTAACTATAAATCTGATAAAACTGCATTCGTCCTTTGAAGAAGCGTCATGATTGCAGGTCATTGCTAGTAACAAGGGCATGACTAGTAGTAACAAGAAACTGCTAGTAACAAGGGCATTTTTGGATTTGCAGATGAAGACTGAGGCACTGTAATGCCCGTGAGCCCCGATGAACCCCCTTTGCTGGCAACTGGCCGCATTGACACTGGTCAATTTCGATCAGTGATTTATGCCAGCGATGAGACCAGGACAAATTCAAATTAGAAATTGAATTTGACGGCGCAGTTCGAGAAAGCAGGGCTGCTGCAATTTCAGGACTCTTGGTGAGTATACCGTGTACGATGAGGCCAATTTGGAGTTCACAGTCACAGGATTGGTTCCCAGCAAGAGGTGCGATCTGAAAGACTCCTGCTGATTTCAGTTTTCATGCTGGCTTGTCGTCGGGGTTTGGGTGGTGGATGGACCTTAGTTGTGCAGGATTGACGTGTGTTCAACAGGGGTCCTCGACAGACAATATGAGAGATCAAGTTGCCAACTGCCTCGTGTGCATCTCCCTTTCAGCCCATCGCATCCTGTTGCGTGCTAAATGCCGATCGATCATCGTAGTAAGTAGATATGCCCCTTGGTTGCTGTCAGGCATTAGCGATGGCCTCCAACCTAGTAGCGATGGCCTCCATCCTAGAAACAGGAACAGCCGCACTGCCTTTTCACTGGGGATGTATCATGTGCAGACCTAGCACGAGCAACTGCGCTATGCAACCGCCAACTGCCCAAGGGCATCAAACACATGTTGTGAAGCCAGCCGCTCGGTGGAAAGATGAGATCCCTCACCTTCACCGACTGTGTGAAGTCGTGCACTTGGCAGTGGCCTGTGCTTTGGCACTTTATTTGCCGCTATGTAACAAATCTCCAACGCGTAGGGCGGCAGCATGCAAGCACAACAAAGGTCCTCGCCTCGCGGGCTGTTTGTGCTGTGGCAGTAATGGCCACAAGAAACAAAAGGTGTTTAGCATGCAGCCGCCGCAGTGGCAATGCTCAAAGCAGCCAGTCACGGGTGAACCTTCGAGGTGCAGGCATGTGGCCACATTGGCGTTCTTTCCTGCACGCTGCTTTTTGGCTTGCCTTTTGGTGAACTATGAATTTTGGCGGAATGATTGAACCTTACCGTACTGGTACCAGATTTAGCGCTGCTTTGGTGTTTCATTGGGCTTTGGGTGTTGCAATGATTTCCCCAATATACCGACGGACCGGAAGTTGGAATGCCATCTTGCACCGCCGGGCATGGACTGCCTCTACTGCACAAAAGGATTTTATATTTCCAAGAAGGTGTTGCTTCAAAAAACATGGTAGCATTTTGTTTTATGTCTATACTATATATATATATGCGCATGTATATATATATGTATATATATGTGGATCAGCATTCTAACTGGCCAGACCCTAGAATTCTAACTGTTCATTTCTGTTGGCTAATAACATTTTGGGGACGGCATCCTGTCCTCTTTTCCTTTTCTGTTTCCTTTCTCCTTCCTTGTGCTTTCTGCTACCATGTCCCGGTCTTAGCCATTGTCTCCTTTTCCTTGTTCCTTTTCCTTGTCCTCTCTTTTTGCTTTTTTTATGTTTCCTGTATCATGTTGTTTTTTGGTCTTTACCTATATGTTTCTTGTGCCTTTATATTTTTCCTGTTTCCTTTTTTGTGTTCCTTTTTCCTTTCTGCTTCCATGTCTTGTTCTTTACCATGTGTTTCCTGTTCCTTTTTCCTCTTCCTTGTCCTTTCCTTTTGTTGGTCTTTTCTGTAAAAGCTGTGGCATTCAAAGTGTGCCCGCGTGCAACAAACAATTCGACAGAGAATGACAACACCAAACGCAAGCGTACCCACAACGAATACAAACAACCCTATCCTATCGTGACCTTTGCTGCTGCCGGGCATCAGCCAGTACCGCCAGTACCTGGCCAGTCCAATGACAAAGAAAACAACAGACAACGCACAATGACACGTGCCCACATACAACCACAACGTCAAACAATCTAAATATAGTAATATAATTGTTTATTTATTACATAAACACCAAGTGTCCCGCCAGTGGCCCGACGTGACACACAACAAACAATGACACACATGACAACACCAAGCATAACCACCACAACGTATCGTGGCTGAGGGATGCCCCACTAGTCACCCGGAGCCAATTATCTTATCAACAGCCAGGTGTTTTTAAACCTGGGATTGCTCCAAAAGCCAAAAGTTTGCCTAGAACAGCTTTAAAGTGAGAGCTGGATAAAGTAGGGACAACGGCCTACACAAAAATTGCTTTGGGGGCGTTGTAAAATTGAGAAAGGATGGTGGTAATCAAAGATCAGATGCACAGGACGATATTCATTTAGAGGTTTGCGACATGTTTTTGGCCTATATATATAATATCACTGTACATGTTCCTAGACATTTTAATGGGACAATTATGATCAATTATTAGTATTTTGGCAGGACCAACTGACCAGCTTTGCCAGCGATCGCAGTGGCATGGTTTTTGGAGTGGTCAATGATCGGTGATGTGAAAGAAGCAGGGGAGACACGCACGTAACTGCGTGCATGTATAGACAATATACAAGTATGTCTCCGCTTGCCGCAAAGACATGTGTGCACACTAACTAACCGGTGTATAACATATTGTGTTGTGTTTTTTTTTGGTAATCATGGGTTTGAACGAACTACCCCCTGCAGCTACAACTTGAATTGCGCTGGATGGAAGCTAAGCAAATCTTGGGTGCCTGTTGTTTGCGCCAACTACCCTTCAGACTGCCAGAATTTCAGCCGCTTGTTTGCAATAAGTGCAATGATCATCGGTAGTTTTTTTCTTCACAATTTGACATGTTCTTGGCTTCTTTTTATGTATAGCGAAGCAGCTGCTTGTGAGTAAATAAATCTTAATTCGTAATTCGGCGGATGCGATTGCCTTGAAGAAACGAAACTGGCATGTCAGGCTTCACAACGATGGATGACACCCGCACCATAGCCAAATCTTAGTGAACCATAGCCAAATCTTTGTTCATTCGTGTGGCGTGCATTGATGCAAGGCGCTGACCTTACCTCGGTGAACATTTTCAAAGCTATCACCTGCCCTGATGGAACACAGGCCGGAACACCAGACCGATTCTTTCACTGCCAGGTGTGAGATAGCTGTTGTGCTGTTTCTCGTTCATTTTCTATTGCCGCTTTGGCAACGCAATGGCGTGCCATTTGCTTGCACACCTCAGGTCACATTATCCTCGTATCTTGCATGAATTCAAGAACTCCAACTCAGTGAAACTGTACTGCACCGTGCACGTAACTCAATTCTGTTGAGTTTCCAATTGTGTCACCAATTATGTCACGCCGGTGAGGGAGACGCAAACATATGAGCAAATCAAGAGTGGCATCGTCATCCTCCTCTCCACATATGAGCGGTCCTGTGCCTTGCCTGATTGCATTGCAAGTATTCTTTGCTTACTGATGCATTGCAGCACAAAAATCAGGCGGTACAGAGTTGGAGGCTGGGGCATTGGCAAACGCCACAGTGAACTTCAGTGTTTGGGAACCCAGTTGATACATTGTGTCCGACCGCTTTCATTTGAGAGCTAATGGCCTTCATTTGCACGACTTAGGTGAGCCCTCTTTCAAGTTATGCCTCCATGCCACTAGGATGCCTTAGCCGTCCCTTTCGGAAAAGTAAACTGACTGGTACCATACCCTTATATGTGGACACCAAGGAACTTCACCAATGAATCGCAGCAGGACAACCATTTCTTCTCTTATGAAGTGCAGGATGACACCGCTATACTGTACAAGTACATGAATATCACTGTATGCCCTCATGCTCACTACTACTCCGACGATGGTGCCGACTGTCAAAACTATGCCCAAGCCTCATTCCCGCTTTGGAGCTTTGCAGCTTTGCAGCACAGCTTTTGAATTTTTAGCGCCCTTGCAAGGTCGTGAGTGTGGCCTTCACGGACACCAAATTGGAAATTTTGAAGATCACAGTCAAGGATTCAATCACTGGAGACGAAAAGGCTGATGGGGCAGGTGCTGGATCTGATGTTGAGGCATCAAATGGAGCCTGAGCAGCAGCGGTTCAATGTTCAAATTTGAAATATTTTCCAAGTTGCTCTAGACTAGAGCAATCAAGCGGGCATTTGGACCCAAAAAACAATGTAAAGGATCAACAGAAACAAAAGAACACGATCAAACAGAACAAAGTAAAAGATCAAAAAAAGTCTTCGAGTCTAGTGGTCGGCTAGGCCCTTGGTCTCCCATGATCCTTTGGTGCCCTAGTCCATTGGTCCCCTGGTCCTTTGGTGCCCTAGTGTTTTGGTCCCTGGTCCCTTTCCTGGTCCGCCGGCCTCGCGGTCAATTGGTCAATGTTGGTCAAAAACACGAGGTTTGCGAAAAAACACAGCGCTACCCGGTTGCCTTGGTCCTTGCGTCACTTTTTGAGTGCCCTTCATTGATGAGGCAATGGGGTGTGTAGTTTTCGATGGTGATCTATTTTTATGGTGCCTTTCAGTCTGATGGCTTTTGATATTTGGTTCGCTCTGTGGGGGAGGCGCTGCGCCCTGCCCCCCAACCCCCCTCCAGCGCCACGAAATCTGCACTACTTTTGTCAACGAGCTGGGCCTACCACGACAGATTTTCTAAAGGTCAACCCCGGACCCATCGCTCTCACAAAATATCGAGCGCACCTAAGCCTAATTTTTTTTAATTTTGTGTTGCGCGCAGTTGCAAGCATCCTTTCACTGTCCTGTGGTGGATGGGCCCCTCATTGATTGGGCAATATGGCGTGCAGTTTTCGATGATGATGTATTTTCTGGTGCCTTCAGCTTTTGGTGGCTGTTGTGGTTTGCAGCCCGCTTCGGCGCCATGAAATCTGCACTACTTTGACCAATGCACTGGGCTGCCACGACAGGCTTTTAAAGGTCACCCCATCCCATATCCACACAGCAAGTATTGCACACCCTCGCCTAAATTTTGATATTTTGTTGCATTCATATGCAATCATTATCATCATCCTTTCATGGTCCTGTGGCCGCCCTCCCTGCTGCTGTTGTCCTTTTCCTTTCATTGTTTACCGGGAATATTTGTGTGATCCCTTTCTTCTTTTGGACCCCCATCCCAATTTTTGGTATTGTTGCTGTACTTATTTTTTTGTGATCCCTCACCCAATCAAGCACCGGGGCCCCGGCCCCTCAGGTGACATTGTCGTTTTTGATATGGCAAAAGATCCAGTGACGGTGCTAACTGATATCACTGTTTCGCTTGGCGGAGCAAATTATTTCCCTCAGACCGTAGAGGCAGATGGCGGGCCACTTGTGTTGATTGTAGGTTTAGCCAGTTGCAGTGGTTGTTATTGTTGGCACAGGCCGGCAACGCTCTTAGGATCGGAGACATAGTTGGCACAATTACGTGCACCATCGAAGGGCAAGGTCTTTCTCTACCTGTCACGTGGCAGAAACAATGGCATTTCTAGACTCAACTTCCAAGTCACAGGAACACCACACCTCGTGAAAACTAGGTCAAGATGACGATGAGACTCTTGGATGCCTAGCCTGGTCCACCATGCAGTCCAGCATTGCACACGATTTCGACGTGCCTTTCCCCAGAGGCTAAGCATGCCGTTTTCAGCACCATTCCAAGGTGGAACTGAGTTCGATATGGACACTCAGCTGTCACTAGACAAGAGGGCAGCTGCTTGGGTTGCAGGGTCCTCAGGACTATAAGCATGTTCAACGCCAGAGTGAAACTAAGGAGTACAAGATTTCCTTCAAGACCCCAACGGTCACTATTGCAACCAAGTCCTTCAGCCTGACAGAAGCTGACTCCACCAGAAGTCTGAGTGTGGCCACTTGACCTTGAATTGGAGCATTATTACTTTTTGGCAGACCCTAACACCAAAACAAAAGCCACAACAAAAGCTTTTGGAAACAGAAGAGCTTCGACACTCTTCGCTACAAATCCTTCGACCGCTTCAAGCCTTTTGAGCGACAGTCCTCCCGATGGTCAGGCATTGGACAACATCCCCACATCTGCGCAGGCACATTGGCTTCCAGCATGCTATGTTTGATTGATGGTTCTTGGTGCTGGAAGGCGAAAGGTGCCAGCACTGGGCATGATTTTAGGGTTTCAACATGCGACGGGTCCAATCAATGCGTTCGCCCTCAGTAGCCCTTTCGAAGCTGTTTGGAAGGCCCCCCGAAAGACAAGATGCTTGACCCAACCCAACTTGTGCAAAGGTGCCCGCCCTTTGGCAGCGTCACCCAAAAAGGCAATATGTAGACCATCTTGGACTACTCGTGCACCATTGAGCAGGTGTTTGGCTTTACTTTGATGAAGCGAGGCGAAAATAAGAGGTCACCATTTGGATCCATTTGGCGTGATACAGTGATACTCAATTGTCATGTCGCTCTGCAGGTAGCGCCGGAGGACTTCATCCGTTTGAGTGTGAGGAAGGTTGGAACTGAGCAGGCTACACCAGGGTTCTGCGAGCAGCAACTTGGCTTGCCCGCAGATTGGCAGTGACATCAGTCTTCAAACAAATCCCAATCGCAATGAAACGAGCAAACCTTTCAAATGGTGCCACAGGCAAACATTCGGCGATGGCTGGGCTACGCTGTCTTGCTTATTGACACTTACACCGTTGTCAGCAGATAGCTTGGTGGTCGACCCTTGCTGCATTGCTGATCACATTGAGCTAGTTTGATTCTACCGTGTCCCTGGTTGCATTCACAGCTCCTTGCACTCCCTTCCCGCTCTCACATGAGCAAGGAGATGGAAATAAAAAACTTTTCATCTACGCTCTGGCAATTGGCAACGGATGTGTACCACACAGGGGCAATCATTTTTTCGGAGCCCTGGCTGACCATTTTCCGCAAATAAGTTGGCGGCACGCTTGGCATTTTGTATCAAGATGTATCAAGCATTTTCAATATATCTATATAATGTACTGCGCACACGCACACTTGTATTCACACATCATTGAGTTGGTATATTTTCTGATCGTTTGATTGCATCATATGCTAGGTAAACGCCGCCCCGGAGGTGGAAGTTTTACAGTAAAAGGACTCAACTATTGGAAGTGACATTGTGATTTCATGTTGATGCAATGTTTTCTGGCCGTGATGCAATGATGTTACGTGGGTGATGTGTTGTGTGGTATGCTAATTTCTGGTGTGGTGATATGTTGGCACGTGATGCATGGTGAACTTGCATCTGCTGAAGTGACGGGTTTCGCAACCCACAGTGTCATTCCCCCCAGAATTGCGCGCCCCGTTCGACTCACCGCCGCTTTTCCAGATCGTTCTGGTCTCTCTCCCCTATCCTTCTTGAGATTTGCTGTTATTACTGATGCATCCACTACCTTTGCACGTTTGTAGGGTACAACTTTCTCTGTGCTACTTTTCTTGATAGATTAAGCGTGTACTGCATCTAAATTTGATCAAATTGTTGCCACTTACACGGCCAATGTTCCCCACGAGGCACCGACTTTGACGTCCCTTTTCACACTAGACGCTAGTGGCAACACAGTGGACACGGTCAACACTGAAAATGTTTCGGCCTCAAGGATGTTACAGCAGTAACATTTTAAAATTTCTAGTTTCTGTGTGTGTTTTGGAGTGAAGACTTGCTCAGGTGCTCCTTTCAAATCCGGTGTTCTACGTGGACGGTTTAAATATCCCAAAGTGTGCTCAGCTTGTGAAAAATTTGTCCAATGAAAGGTTGAAAACAATACGTAGAGGTGCGTGACAAGACATGTGCGACGGCCATGTGCACCAGCACCATGTTTCAGTGACATTCTTTGCCATAGATCTGGCAGCCATTCCACTGCCTTGTGCATGCCAGCCTCGAGAACTTGAACATGGATTATGTGGATGAGCAAGACTACAAGCTTTGGCTTCAAGGGGGTGATGCTGAAATATCTCTATGTTGCTTTGAGGAAGTTGAACATGCAAATTCAGCAGGACTGAGCTTTGGATTTTGCTCCGCCACTAGTTTCCGTCGTTGCTGTGTTTCCGGTGGGGAAGAAGATAGGAGCAGGGTTCATGATTCGAGCTGAGGCTCCAGCATGAAGTATGACTCTGACACCGCAGCGCTGAAGCTCTCCCAAAACTGCAGATTCACGTTTACCATGTCAAGTCTGCCCAGAATCTGCTAGGGAGTTTACGATTCGGGTCATCATCGGAACCAGGAATTCAAACAAAGTGCTCATAGACTCATAGTGCTGTTGAGGTAATATTCTTTTGTAGGTGCCTGTCCCCTGCAGCATTTGGTATGACAGCACGCCAAGTGCTCAACATATGTGTAGCTTCATGGGCCATAATCAGCCCAATTACGTTTTCAGATCATTGCAGATAGTTGCAGCCTTCTGGAACGCAATAAAGCAAAGGAATAACGAAAAAAGACAAAGGCAGCTCTAAAGGTCTAAAGGCCTAAGTTCCTTTCAAGAGTATGACAAGGAAAGGAAAAGGAAAGAACAAACATGAATGAACGTCGATGTTTTTCTCCATCGCTTGGCCCAGGGAGTGCACCATCACCAGCTGCCTCGATGCTTGGGACGTGCCGAGCGAGCCGAGTGTCGTCCTGCAAGTTGGTGACCTCCGGAGCGAAGCGCTGGCGGGTCACCTGGCCGTAGGCGAAGCACGAGTAGGCATGAGTAGAAAGCACAATGAGAATACTGTGAAGCTTTTCTTAAGTTATTGTCGTGTCAGCTGGGTGCTTTGTGCGTGCAACACGTGCCAAGGGAAGCTCACCCTCCCACGGCCAGTCATAAGCACGATCTCTCCAGACCTTATCTTGGATGCAGGCTTTTCTTGCCCGACATGCTGCATCACAGTTGGAACCCAGTAAACTGTACTAATATTGCACCAGTACTACACGCTACTATATACTGACAGCACGTTCTGATTTTGCAGGATATGTTGAGATCGAGATTTTTGGGAACTCCTTCTCAGAAGACAGAGATGTTCTTGCACCCAATGGCAGCTTTGAGGATCCTGGATATATTCATGTATTTTTGAAAGCACATGTGCACCCATGCTGCCCATACTTGTTTGATAGTGTTTGATCCTGTACAGGAGGCGTGCATAGTATGGCAGGCAAAGGCAGAGGGCCTGCTGGCTGATGGAGTGGCAAGGCGGGGAACAAGATTTGGGAGATTGAAGGATTCAGGGCTCCGAGTTAAGGGAGAAAGAGCACTGAGAAGCGGCATTGCATATGGTAGTCGATCGAAAGGTCGAAATAAGGCCTATGCCACTGAGAGCCTCCTTAAGTTGTCCGCGAAAGTTTTTTCTCGAGTTCGCAAAAGTTATTCCCGAGAGCGCCTGCGAAGGGTTCTTCGTAAAAAAACATCTGCAGAACTACGTCTCATACATCTTCACATCTGCACATCTACATCTCTGCTCATCTTCATCATCTTCACACATCTACATCTCTGCTCATCTCAGCTCATCTTCATCTTCACACATCTACATCTCTGCTCATCTTCACATCTGCACATCTACATCTCTGCTCATCTTCACATCCTCACATCCACAGCCTACAGCTCACATCTTCACCTCTCGCTCTAATTAACTTTCTCTCTTAAGGCCTGGGGCAGTGCCGCCGGACCGCCACGAAACGCAACCCTCTGCGGAGATCGTGCGTGTCGAGGGGGCGAAATGCAGGCGAGAGTGCGATTTGTCCCGGTCGCGGGCAACCCTCTGCGGGGATCGTGCGTGTCGAGTGCGCGAAATGCAGGCGAGAGTGCGATTTGTCCCGGTCCGGGACAACCCTCTGCGGGGATCGTGCGTGTGGAGTGCGCAAAATGCAGGCGAGAGTGCGATTTGGCTTTGTCGCGGGCAACCCTCTGCGCAGATCGTGCGTGTCGAGTGCGCGAAATGCTGGCAGGCGAGAGTGCGATTTTGACCCGGTCTGGGGCAACCCTCTGCGGAGATCGTGCGTGTCGAGGGCGCGAAGTGCAGGGGAGAGTGCGATTTGTCCCGGTCCGGCGAAAATGTTTGCGGAGATCGTGCGTGTCGAGGGCGCGAAATGCAGCGAGAGTGCGATTTGTCCCGGTCCGGCGCAACCCTCTGCGGAGATCGTGCGTGAGCTGGAAGATGAGAACTGGCGACTTTCTAGTACGACTTTAGTACGCGGAGTATCTGGGGAGCTGGAAGATGAGAACTGGCG